CCAGGACCCTACAGAGGTGTGGTCCACTGGTGAAAGTTGCTTTGTTCAAGAAAGACATGGAAAGGCAGGCTATGCAGCTCTCAGCTCACACAGGTCACTGACGCTAGACCTCCTCATCCAGCGACCTCTGCTAAAATCTTGGAGAGAGGGAACCCCTGCTGCCCAGTTAAGCCCAAAATGGAAGGACCCCTCCTCGGTGTCCTTGCCACACCCACTGCAGTAAAGGTGGCAGGGATAGACAGTTGGATTCATCTTTCTAGAGTGGCGCTGGTCCCGACTGAACTGTCTGATGCACAAAATCACCCAAAAGAAAACAGTGACTCCTGTGAGCCTCTGGAGGACTTGAGAGACTCCTGTCCACTACAGGAACCGTGGAAACCCTACTGCTCCTCATACCTGGGCCAGCAATGAAGACCGATGGACATTAATTTTTTCTCATAGTTTTCTGACAGGTTTTCCCTTCTTCAGCTCAGCCAGTGAGCCACAGTGCCCCAAGGGAGCTGGAGAGCACATGACCCCAGCAGGTGAGGTCTGCAGTCCCTTCCAACTTGAAGAAGCTACAGAAGACAGAGACCTACACACCCTCAGCACCCTGTAAAGAGTTATGGGGATTTGTGTATCTTGGTGGGCAGAGGCAGGGGATGAGATGGGAGACTAGGGCATGGCAAAGCTGGCTGGGGAAGCAGGTGTGGCCTGTGAAGCATGGGGTCCTGGACACCCACACAGAGCAGTTCCCAAGGCCCTACACAGGGAACTCTCTCAAGAACTCAGCAGGTTCTCAATAGGAAGCCTACACTTGGGGGCAGCCTTAGGCAGGAGATCCCAGCACCGCCTCGAGGACCCGTATGTAGCCGTTCACTCTGGTCTCCTCGAGATTTGGATAAAATAAGAGAAAGGCAGGGATGTGGAGCCGGTGTTACCGTAGCTTCCACTGCGGCCCACACTCTGTTCCCCAGACACAGCACATCTCCCTCTTTTTCTAATTACTCAGCCCAAGTTTGCTCTGCAAAGCCAGCTTCTCTCCCATTCTTCACTTTTATTTTTTCAAATAAATCTTGACACTGATTTAAGGGAAAAAAATAGGAAGAAACCTATACCAATGCACATCATAAATTTCTCAAAATCAGCATAGAGAGAAAATATGATACACATTCCCCAAAGATCACGTGTGCAGGAACATTTATAAAGCTAGCAACAGATTTCCAGAGAGAAAGCAATGCCAGGGAAAGTAAAGGGGCAGTGTCTTAACGCACTGAAGACCACACTGTCCATGTGAGATTCAACACCAGGAGCAAACAGACTGCAGAAACAAAGGTGAGATTTCCAGGTTCTCGAGGGAGCTCAGAAGTCAGCCCTCTAACAAGTGAAAAGGAAAAGCATCAAATCTTAGATCCATCAGAGAACTGAGTTCACAGTGTTATGGCGAACAGGAACACAAAATGACACCCAGGATTGGGAGGCAGATTTGTTTATGTCAGGGGACACTGATTGGGATCATTCTCCAAATATTAGGCCTGATCTCTGGCGGTCTCGGGCTTATATGGGATAAGCAGGCAGAAGTAGAGAGGCAGAATGGCTTGTCCACAGTGTGCAGCGTGGCGACCAGCCCTTTCTAAGAAACACAAGTTACAGAACTGTACCCCAAACTATTACCCGGCAGCTGAGAAACTCAAGTGTACTGACTGGGGTGGGGCACGACTTCTGCTACAACACGGCAAACTACTGTTTCTCAGACTGGAAAGACACAGGAGTTGAGACCATGGCTGGCGCCCCTGCAGGAAGCACAGCCTGTGCGGGGGGGCCCCTGTGCCTTCAAACTCCAGGGCTGCTGATGTGGGGCCTTCTCGAGATTTACCTCCTGGGGTTCTGCCAGGTTCTCATAGCAGCAAACAGAGAAAAACCTCCTCTTACGAGGTGGTGGAGGGAAAGGGAAGCTTTTAAAACTGTGACAGAGTAAGGTGCTTTCCAGAGGCCACCTCCTGGAGAAACTGTGGAGTCCACGCCACTGAGGGTTTGAGCCTACCCCACCAGGACACGGAAGGTACCTGAGTCCATGGCTCACTCCCTTCTGTTCCAGCTGTGGGGCAGAGTGGGTCTGAGACAGTGAAGCTCACCGCTGGGGAACAGCTGGCCAAGAGCCTGAGACTGAGGACAGGACCCCAGAATACTTCTGCACTCCCAGCTAGCCAAAAGAGGCTTGCGTCCAACACCGCGTCCAGCCCCCAGCAACTGTGGGTCAGATGAACAGTCTGCCTCTCAGATGTTGCACTTAGAGAATTTGCCCCTGGACATTTGTACTGGACAAATGAAAATCAGAAGTCAAAACATCTTGTTAGTTAACATTTTTCTACTGATGTATAGAATAAGAAGAGATTGAAAGCTATGCATATCTGTATGTCTATGTCTATATATCTACATCTATATCTCTTTTTTGAGACAGGGTTTCACTATGCAGTTCAGGCTGGCCTTGAACTCACTTTGTAGCCCAGGCTAGCCCCAAACTCTTTGCAATCCTCCTGTCTGTGCCTCCCAAGTACTGGGATTGCAGCTGTGCATCACATATCCAGAAAAAGCAATATTAAACTATATGAGTTTGGAAATTTTTTGAATTTTTTTGAGACAGAGTCTCGCTATGTAGTTCCACCTGGCCTTGAACTTGCAGCAATCCTCCTGCCTCAGTCTCCCAAGCGCAGGAATTACAGGTGTGTACCACCACGTCTGGCATGATTTTTTTTTCAAAAGAAGCCTTTCCTAGAGATACCCACAGAAATTCGCAATTGTGATACATACAGGACCACATGTATTGGGGTCCTGCCACCTACTGTGGGGTTGGTGATATGAGGGACATGAGGAGCCACAGATAACACTCTGCACTGCCCTAGAAGCCAGCCGCTAGCGGGCCTGGAGCACCGGCGGTTTACACCGCTGGGCATCCGGAAGTAGGAATCTATCCACTGGGAGAGGCGAAGGGAAAGTTTTCTTTAAAATAAATCCAAAATATCTGATCAGACCAGCAGGTGTAAATGACCACTGAGAAATTTTGCTATGAGGACACTTTCTCAACTGATTCCGCCAAATTACAAGATACAACAGACGGCAAAAGAACAAAGACAAAAGACAGAAGCACAGTTTACTCGTAGAGGCCAAAAGTCAGGTGTCCCCTTAACAATATATAAGAAGAGTCTGTGTCTCTCTGATCAGCTGTGACCTCCGAAAGACTAAAGAGACAGAGCGATCACCAGGATTGGATATGGCCAGGTGGGTGGACTTCAGGACAACTGTGACCCAAGTCCTGAGGGCCATGAGGGACCAAGGAGACCGCGCGCAAGGTGGGCAACGTAAGCAGAGAAAGATGCTATGTGAACTAACATCTGTTCTTTAAAAGAGGTAAGAAAACAGTTCATTCAGGGCCAAATGTATGTGACTGTGGCCTGGAAAGAGTTTCAAGTTGTTCTGAAAACCTGCTCCCAGGAAAACAGGTGGTGTTGAGCCTTCTAAGGACAACGGTAATAATGATACATAAACACTTCAGTGAGTCAGCACGCGGCAGGACCTCTGGCCAGGACTGAAATGCTATCTGACTGCATTCCTAGGAGGAGACCGGGCAGCTCATAGGTCTATCCTGTGTCAGGTTAACAGTGGTTATTCCGGTCCCACACACACCCAGAAAGTTTCCCTAACGTCATGAGAATGTCAGGTCAGCTATAAAAGTTTAGAAGCAATGGTTTGTTTTCTAAAGGCCCAGTAGTAGCATTTCTCTCACAGGCTGTCCCATGTATGCCCCTCATTTTATCTCCTTGTGACAAGCTCTCCATCTGGGACTTACTCGAAGCATTCTATTGTAGTATGGTTACTTCAAGAGTGTTTAATTTCACAGGTGGACATTCAAAGAAAGAATCAAAAAGAGAAAAGCTTGCATATCAGTCAGCTTTCCACCGCTGTGACAAAACACCTGAGAAAGTCAGCTGAAGAGTGGAAAGGGTTATTCTGACTCGTGGTTTCCGAGGGTTAGGTCTATAGCTAATGGCTCTGTTGTTCTGGGGCCTGTGGTGGGGCAGACCCTCGTGGTAGGGAGTAGGGAGGGCTGGAATAAAGTAGTTCAGCTCCTGGTGTGAAAGATAAAAGAGCAAAGGGAGAGAAGGGAAGTGGGGGAGAGAGAAGGGAAAATATGGCGAAATACGGGTGTAACGTCAAGGCCATGGGAACAAAGGCAAAAAGGAACACACACACACTCACACGCACACGCTCACACACATTCACACACACATCCACACTCACACGCACGCACCCTACTGAAGGAAATAATGGCTGAGGATTTTCAAATGTGAATGACAGAAACCAAATTAAGTCGACATCCAGGAAGTTTAGGGACCATCAAGCAGGGTTAAACCCCTCCCTCAAAATCTACACCAAGGCCTCTAACCTTTATATGCAGGAAATCAAAGGCATGAAGAAACTCTCAAAAGAAGCTAGAAGAAAAAAATGTTGCTATAGAGGAATAAAAATATGGATTTCATAGGACTTCTTTTCAAGAACAATTCAAGAAAGAATGGAATAGAGTGGGATATTTTAAAAGTCCAGATGGGAAAATATCAAGCTAGATTTCTGTTATCAGTGACATCTGGGTCTGTGCCTAATGACTTCTGCATGCCAAGTAAGTACTCTGCTTCTGAGCTACATTCACATCACTTAATTTAATTTTACCCTGTCTTATCTTACCTTACTTTACTGTTTAATTTTATTTGAGGTGCAGTCATACTAAATTGCCCAATCTGGCATTATATTTAAATCCTCCTGCCTCAGCCTCCTGAACAGTTGGGACTGCAGGTGTGTGTCACCAAGATTGGCTTGAAATTCTGCTTTTAAAGTGAAACAGAAATAAAGAATGCTTCCGAATAACAAAAAATGTTGGAATTTGTGCCAGTACATCTGCTTCGCAAGAATTGTTAAAAGAAATTCATCAGAGCAAAGAAAAATTTTTCAATCAGAAACGTAAATGGGTGCCCGCTTCAGCAGCACATGTACTAAAATTGGAAGGCTGTACAGACTAGCAAGGCCCCTGCATAAAGATGACATGCAAATTCCTGAAATGCTTCTCGTGTTTTAAAAGAATCCCAATCCAAATACCAACAACATTCGTCACAGAACTAGAGAAAACAATCCTAAGATTCATCTAAATCAGTAGAGACCCAGAATAGCAAAAGCAACCCTGGATAACAAAAGCAAAGCAGGAAATATCACAATCTAAGACTGGAAGTTATATTGCAGAGCTTCTGTGATTTAAAAAGAAAAACCCAGCAAGGAACTGGCACAAAAAAGACGTGAATTGGGGCTGGGGATTTAGCTCAGCGGCATAAGCACCTGCCTTGCAAGCAGGCGGTCATGAGTTCGATCCCTGGTACCGATAAAAAGAGAAAAGAAAAAAAAAAAAGACGTGAATCAAAGAACAGAATAGATGTAAAAAAGATATCAGGCACACTCAGCTATTTAATCTTTCACAAAGAGTCCAGAAAACATGCCCTGGAGGAAAGGAGCCTGTTTAATAGATGGTGCTGGGAGACTGGGTAAACATGCAGAAGACCGAGGCCTGGCTGAGACAGCTCAGCAGGTACAACCTAAAATCAAAATGCTTCGAAGATCTAAACATTCCAACAGAAACAATCTGCTGATAACACAGTGAAAAATCACAGAGACACACATAAGCATAGGCAGGGACTTTCTGAACAGAATGCCAGTGGCATAAGAAATAATACCAAGAATCGACATTTGGAAACTGCTAGGGCTATTTCCAAAAGATGAAAAATATTAACAAAAGATGAGAAATATAAAATAAAAAGCGGCCTTTATTCTGAGAAAACGGAGAGAGATGACCGGCACCCCCACCGCTGGCGTCCGGCGATCTCTCCGGCGGACACGTGGCGTGGGGGCCTGTAAATAGCCTCGGTTTGGGGTGGAACCTAAGGCGGGCATTAGGGATGCACAGGTAGCCCATTGGTCCTAGGTTTGGCGCCATATGTAAATTTCCAGGGGCGGGAAGATGGCGTCACAGGTAACTTCCTAGGGGCTGGGGAGATGGGGCTTCCTGCTTCCGGTTGTGGCTTTCCTGGCTACAGTGTCCTATCTGGGCCAAAACCCTTTCAGAAATATGTCAAATTGATAGGCGTCTGCACAGCAAAGCAAACAACCAACAGAGTGAAGAAACAATCTAAGAAGTGGAGGGAAATTGTCCAGTTATTCCTCATGGAGGACTAGTATCTAGAATATACAGGATTCAAAACCACCAGAACCCTTCCAATTTAAAGGCCCAATTTAAAAGGGCCTTTTAAATGGGACCTGAAATGAAGAGACACTTCACAGAAGAACTACAAATGGCCAATAAATACATGAAAAATGTTCAACATCACTGACCAGTAGAGAAATGCAAACTAAAACCATACTGCAATACCGTCTCGCTCCAGAAAGAATGGCTATCAACAAACATTCAAACAACAAACATGGGTAAGGATGTGGGGGAAAAGGAATTCTACATTGCTGGTGGGAATGTAAACTCGTACAACCTTTAGGGGAATCCATGTGGAGATTCCTGAGGAGACTAAAAATAGAAATTCCATTTAACCTAGCTATTCCCCTTCTAGGTATCTTCCTGAAACAGCCATCATGTTGCAGGGATGCATGTATACCAGTGTGTACGCGATTTTTTTTTTTTTTTTGGTACCAGGGATCGAACTCACAACTGTGCGCTTGCAAGGCAGGTGCTTATGCCGCTGAGCTAAATCCCTGGACCCTCAATTTACAATAGCTAGATCTTGGAAGCAGCATATATGTCCTTCAACAGAGGAATGCATAAGAAAAACCTGATATCTGTACACAGTGGAGCACTACTCTGTCACAGAGAAAGATAAACTTGAGGCATCTGTAGGCATATGGATGCAACTTGAGAACATGGTGGGAAGGGAAATAAGTCAGATATGAAAGCTTAAATAGCACAGGGCTTCTCTTATGTGAGAAACTCAAACACACAAGCATAGAGAGAGGGCACAAGCGTGAGAGAGAGCACAGTGGAAGACACAGAGGAAGTAGGGAGAAGTTCAAGTAATTCCCCAAAGTACCTGTGCCATTGTTTCAAACTGTGCTGAGCTGGGCTGGGCCTGGTGGCGTCTGCGGCAGGACAGCAGGAGTTCCAGGCCAGCCAGCTATGCAGAGGGACCTTGTCTCAAGACAAAAAGAAATGCTAATTTGTTTCATTTCTACTACTACTTTCTCTTAGTTCCTTAGTTCCTTGAAAAGAAGGTTGTGTGCTATTGTTTGTTTGCTGCTCCTTTCTAAGAGAGAGTTTTTGTCTTGAGTAACATTGTGGTAATTTAAAATCATTCTCTGATTATTTTGTTATGAAATTTTGTTTTTTTCTCATAGAGATAAGAAGAGTCCTTTTTGATATTTTCTTTACTCCCCAATCTCAGGTCTTGAAGACCTAAAAAGCCTTCATCATCCTGTTATGATTTGATTAGTTCTATAATGTTCAATATATATTCAATGTGTGTGAAGATGAGGACAACTATTTGGAAGAAAACTAGAGAGAGTAAGATACACAGTGAAGATCTCCGGTGGACTTGCTTTGAAATCTGTGTTTCTTAAAATTGTTTCCTTATGATGTTTTGTTACATTTAATCTTACCCTCTTTAAAATAAAAATTTAAAAAATTTTCTTTATTAATATCTATATGTATTACATTACAGTTTAAAAAAAAAAGAAATTTGGGCATGGTGGTGCTGTACACTAGCAAAAAGAGCTTCGTTATGTTTGTGTTATGCCTAATTTATATGACCAAAGTACCTGTAACGCAGTCATACTGTTCTGTATGGGTGACCTAATTGATATGTTAACCCTCTGCAAACAACAGATATTATCTCAAGTTGAGTGCTAAAATAAATTGACAAAGGATTGTTAATTCCTGCAAGACTTCTCTATCCTCTGCAAAGGGAAACAAAAGTCTTCCTCATTCCTTAGCAGATCAAGGATCTTTCATTTCCTGATCCACGCCCATAACCCCTTACTTTGTAAACTGTGCTTTCTACAAAATGTCTGGAAAGTTTTGAGGGAGATACACATCTTTTGCAAACTCCAACTGCACTGTGTCACTGGCCTCAGGATAAAATAAATCAGTGCTGCTTTTTAAAAACATGTCTTGCCTCATTTTTGGACGTGAGGTTGGGGGTGTAAGGGGCTCATTTTTGGATTACAAGAGTTGGCACATTCCTGTAATCCCAGGACTGGGAAGGCTGAGGCAGGAGAATTGTTTACAAGTTCAAGACCAACCTGGGCTACAAAGTGAGCCTGAGGTCAGCCTGAATGGCATAGTGAGACTATGTTTCAAAAGAAAAGAAAAAAGAAAGACAGACAGAAAGAAAGAAAGTTAGTTAGTTAGTTGGACAAAATGAAAGAAACTCCAAGAAGGAGTAATAATGGTAGAATAAAATACTTCATTTTTCTTTCCATTTACTAGCGATTCACCTACCAAAGAACACTTCATTCAACTGAATGACAGGAACAGTGCATGGGGGAGCAGCGAAGCTGGGAGAGAGGAAGGGGGTGGGGACACTGATGGGGGGCTCTGTGCACTTCCTGCAGCACCACAGTGAGGCCTGAAGACAGGCATTATAAGCTGCTAACATAAGCAGGTAGACAATTGTAAAAGAAAATATAAGAGAGGAGAAGAGATAGATTCCTATAAACTGCTCAACCAAAACCAGAAAGGGCAGAGTGGTAGGTGTGGACACCCATGAACACAGAGACTCTGGCTGGTGGGAGATGCAAGCAGGCAGAGCCCTGGAATCAGCCCTGGCTGGAGGGCATGATCCCTGCGGGCAGAGCAGTGAATCCTCCAGAGCTGGGATAACCGCTGCACCCAAACGAGAAAATGTCCCGGGTGCTGTTCCGGACCAGCCCACTCAGGTGTTGACCAAGAAAAGCCTGGGACACTGAGGGAGCGGCTGCTGTGCACTGCTATGGGCACCTACATGGAGACAACTGAAAACAGGGAGGAGAACAGACCAGCAGGATGCTCCCTGCCCTTTTAAGGTGGACAGGACACCAGGGCCAGGGCAGGAAAGGTGCCAAGGCAAGCACCAGCTTCACGTCCATTACAGGTGAGGAAAGCAGTCTTGTGCTGCTATGGACACTAACAGGGGTGGCTTAGAAAGGAACTGAGAGCAGGATGTCCACAGATGACACAGGGTACTTCTTGACAATGGCAGGAAACCTAAACCTAACCCTAAACAAATACCCTAACCCTAACCTCTAACCCCTAACCCCTAAACCTTAGCCTAACACTATCCCTACCCCTAAGCCACATTCCTATCCTTACCCCTGCCCCTCCCAGCACTCCCAGTCTGGTGGAAGTCTTGCTCTGTTTGCCCAGCAGAGCTCTTAAGGACAAAACAGTACCAGCTGCAGGTGGGGGTGCAGAAAGTGCCAGAAGGAAGCAGAGGCAGCAGGGAAAGGAGGAGAGAAAAAGGCTGGAACCGTGGAGGCCAAATGACAGGGGCCACACCGAGAGCCCTAGGTGATGGATGGCTCAGGAGGGAGCAGCCCCATGGAGGTGTGGGTGAGGGGAAGAGCAGCCACCCTTGCAGGTGACGGTGACAGTGACGGTGGCCGCTCATGCTGTCCCCTGAGAAGCCCGAGGCACAGCAGAGAACCAAAGGCAGAAGGAAGCAAAGAGGATGAGCTCCCAGTGTGAGTCTGCCCTCGGGGAAACCTCACAGCTGCACAAGTTCTGCAGCAGCTCCAGCTGTGGCTTCCAGTACCACCCGCAAACTGCTGCCAGGAATACGTCACAGGGCTCCAGAGACCCTCAGAGGGAGATGGGCAACACCCGGGCCTGCCCAGGGCGCAGGGAAAGCGGAGAATGATGGGGGAGGGGGCACAAGTGACTGCAGGGATCAGCTCTTCCAGTTAGGCTGCAGGGGCCCAGGATCAAAGGGGGAGGCCAGAACCCAGGCAGAGCCAGGGTCACATTGCTGCCGATTATTTCCGCAGGGGCTCCAGGTCCCCTCCGCTTCCCAGCCCAGACTCTGGGACCCCTCCTGACACGAGCTTTGGCTG